GAAGGAACTCCTGCTGCTGTTTTAAATAAATATCAATAGCTAACTAGTGCCAGTGTACCAAATACAACATAAGTGATCTAGTTTTCTTCCCTTTAACTTAATGCAACCAAATGTAAAAACTGCAGTCAATGTATATTTAAAGTTAGAATACTATCACATTTTTCAGCAGAAACTTTGCAGGCAAGAAGGAAATAAGATGATATAATCACAGTACTGAAAGTAAAAACTTCAAATGAAAAATAATCTACACAGCAAGATTATCAATCAATAAACTAATACTTCATGGAAACCTATCCATATACATCAAATAAATGACTAAAATAGTAAATAATTATATTACTATATTAGAAAATGGGACTAATAATGTTATTAACAGAAATACATAAACCAGAAGAAGGAACAAGTGTTTAAGAAGAAAACACTTGAGTTTAGTGCCAGGCAGTTGTAAACAAAGAACTGGTGGGCACACAGGCTGGGAAAGATATATAGATTGAGATTCTGCTGATTACAAGTGATAGTTGAAAAAAAAATAGTTACATCACAAATGATATACAATTCAGTAAGATAAATAACAAGCAAAAGATAAGTAACACAAATATAAAATGACTGTAGCCTGCCTAGGTAGGAAAATAATCTAACAAAAAAACTACAAATCAAGACAAGTCAAAACTTTCAAAGGAAAAAATAATCATTTTAGTAACTATTTTGTAATATAAAAATAACTATTTTACTCTTATTTAAGTAATTTACTAAGAAGAATAATGTAATCCTACCTTACTACTATTCATTGTTGGTCATATCTTAGCTAAAGTAGCAGGTCCATGTTGAAGGATTACACATTAGGGATGAGGAAGACACGATTCAAATTTCAGTGGAGTCTCACGGAATGATCATAGGTCTAGCCAGAAAACATGAGCTGCAAGAAGAAATTCAAGGAGTCAGAATTGTACACCACAGAGAAAAAGGTTAAAATGTACACATGGAGTATAGTAAGCTACTATTGGAAATGAACTGTGGCAATATCTCACATTCATCACATTAAGAATAAAAATACTATTCTTACTTAACTTTATCCCTTGCTTACTTCTCTCCCTTTCTTCCCATAAGTTTCCCAGTGAGTAATGTATCTTACCTTCTCTTCTAACCTATTCCCTGAGTTTTGAATAGGTAATTCATGTTTTGCTCATTTTTCACAATATAAAACTAATTTTAAGTTTGAAGCATATCAAAAGAAGAAACTGCACTTGATGAAATATTATTACACCCTAAAGAAGTAGTTAACTATGTAAGAAAAATTTAGGTTTGGGAAGGATTCTCCCAGGACATATATACTTTCTCTATCTAACATACTTTAGTATGCCAAAACATGATCCTTGCCTTGGATATTCTCTCAACCCTTGCAACTAGGATTGTTTGTTGATTTTAGAGAGCAAGGAAGGGAGAGAGAGAGGAAGGGAGAACATTAATTGGTTGCCTCCTGTAGGTGCTCTGACCAGGGATCAAACCCGCAAACTAAATATGTGCCCTGGCCAGTAATGGAATCCACAAATTTCGGGTGTACAGAGGATGTTCCAAACAACTGAGCAACCCAGCAAAGGCTGAAATTAGAATTTCTAAGATGTTTCTTGGTCATTGGTCTCTTATCACTGATGCCAATATATGCAGCTTATAGCCCTGTTGCTGTTTCTCATTTTTTGCCTCACACCTCATATTTCTAATCCCAACTTCTTGGTTTATATTCAGCTTTCCCCTTTCTTCAAGCTCCTTATTTTTTGTTTGCTTATTCCATTTCCTGTCATTTCCCCTACTTCCTTGACTTTCATAGGAACCAGAGGACATTTCATTGATGTTACCAATATGATTACTCCTTTCATCCTGACCAAACACAGGAATATCTTCCAAGTCTCCTGACCCATTTTCAAAAGGTTCCTCCTTTGCCCCCCAGACAAGCATTTTATTCTCTTCCAGATTTGAGAAGGTTCATAATGCTACAACTGGTTGGAAATCTAATCTACATATAATGAAAGTGTTATTACATCCCTCTAGTTCCACTAAACTGTGATATGAATGAAGACAGGGATTGTTTCTTAATGTAGCCAGCATCCTACACAGAACCTGGAACACTGTAGTTACCAAACAAGTGATTACTGAATGAACGAAATTCCAAGGTGAATTACAGCTTTCTCTGTACACTTTGGCATAAAGTAAGGCTTTGACAAGAGTTTCTGTATTAAATGATAAAATTCATGACTTAAAAATATATTTAAATATAAAAACTTTAATCATGACTTCTCTTTTATACTGCTTTCAATATTTCTGGAATTCCCTGGAAATAGTACAGTAAACAGTATTACTTATAAAAGGAAACAAAATGTAGTGTGTACCTAAATGTACACATTACATGTTACCTAATTCCACTCTAAAGACAGATTCCCCAAAGTTACTGAACAATCCATTTAATTTGAAATTGTTTAGCCTCGCCTCTCTATCAGCAAAGATAGTTCAAAGTTATCCAGACTTCCATATTCTGGTCTCTGACTATGATAGAAGAACATTTATTTTCAGAAACCTAAAAACAAGCTATTCAACTGGGATTCCATGTCCACCACCAAGCATTGTCAGGTGTCTTGCTCAAGAAAGCTAGTCATAGTTCCCATGTGTTATTTATGTATCATTTTCCAACTCAAGTCTTTTCTATACTTTTTTTAAATGAAAAAAACAACAACAGTATTTTTCCACTTCATATTGAAATTTGGGTTAAAACTAAGCAACAACTTCTTTGGTAGAATTCTAAATGGAACATTTCCTTGTTCAACCTACTATAAACCTATGATAAAAAAAATTATAGTCCTTGTATTACTTCAAAGGTATATCATCCTTATCAAAACTCATCAAAGGTTCCTACAGATGAATTAAAAATGTATAATAACGACTTTCTGGTACACCTAATCTTGCCCACCAACTTCCCCATTTACACAGGTTGCCATCTCTAACTCACATTCATTAGCCAAATGTAGTTCCTACTCTTTAATTGTGCTTCTCCTCACAACTAGAAATAGATTGAGGCAAGAGAGGTACCTAGGATGCAAAATTTATGGAGACATTCATTCTCAGAGTTGTGCATGTGACACGCTGTGGTTGCATGAACCTAAAAGTGAATAGTCTTATTTTGTGTCGTAGGCATCTCTCATGCCCCACCGTAGTCCTGGCCCTACTTCTCTATTCCACCCTTACTCCTCTTACTTCTCTAATAAGCAACAAACCGAAATCTAATTCTGACAAAGCAAATATCTAAAATTAAGCAATGAATTTAACTATAATTTTGCATCCATTTAAAATCATGTTTTCAAAGAAAATCTCTTGTTCACAATGTGATGTTAGGTGAAAAATAGATGTGTCAGGAATGCTTATATACAGTAAGATTTTGGTGTGTGTTTTTTTGTGTGTTTTTTTCAAATGGGCACAAATTGTATGTGCATATAAGTGACAGACCTATGTTATTTTTTACTTCCCTTCTTTTGGTGGAACCATATCAATTTATTTCTGTTGAACTACTCTTCTCTTACTCTCAATCCATGTAGTTTGGGTGGCACTAATTATGTATTCCCACTCTCAAGTTTCTGGAATGAGCACAAAGTTCCTGGAACAGGTATATGACCCAGGTGGGAACAATCAACATATTCCCTCCCCCAAGCAGTAGTTCAGGAATGAACCCAATAGGACTGATAAAACGCAATTCTGCAAGAACTAATGGGGAAGTTATCTTTCAGCTGAGGTTGCTAAACTGAAAGAACATGATAAGTATCTACTTCACAGTGAGCCAACCAGCAAAAAGAATTGCTAAGAGATGGAAAGAGATGAAGAACACTCTGAAAACCTTTTGCCCCTAGATCTAATCGCACCTGAGTTCAGGAGAGTTCAGGTGTTAAGAGATATACCTGCTACCACCTTAGAATTACTCTTGGGAAACAATTCTCTCTTTCTCACATTCCTGCACAGAGCCTTCTAAGAAAAAGGTATTACAGGGAGATCTGCATGACAGACAGCCTTGGAAGCTCCAGACAGTGTCTCCCGACAGATAGAAACCTCCAATGAGCTTTGGAGAAGTAAAGCCCTCTCCTTCCCTTCCCTGGAAGACATTACTTACATTCTTTTATTAACTTATGTTTACTAGGCTGCTTTATATTTTTATCTTTATTTACTTATATTCTCATATAATAAACCTAAAGACACTTTGCCTTTCTACCCTGGAGGGATTTGCTCAATGAGCAATCTCTCCCCTCTGCAAGGTATTCTCTTCCCATCAGTGTTCCAGACTTAGCAGTTACATGAGGCAATAAATTATTTTTTATTTAATAATTCATTCAACAAATATTTGCTGAGAGTCTACATAGTTATGTGCCACACATTTTCTTACACAACAAAATAGACAAAAACCCCTGCCTTCATCGAAATTATATTCGAGAGAGAGGGAACAAATACAAAATAAATAAAATGCACAGTATTGGTAGTAATCTATACTAATAAAAGAGTAATATGCTAATTAGACCAGATGTCTTCTGGAAGTCCATCTGGACAAAGCCACAGTGGCTGCCTAGGAGGGCCAAGGGGCTGGAAGAGGCGGCGGGGCTCAGAAGAGCCCAGCTGGCGTGGGAGAGGCAGTACGGTGTGGGAGAGGTGTGGGAGAGGCTCAGCAGCATGGCCCCTTTTGCAGACGTCACAGGAGAGGTGCTGCTGCAGCCTCTGCCACTGTGGGAGAGGAGGTAGCGCCGCCACAGCTGCCGCCACCGCCCCTTTTGCAGAGGTGGGACGGGAGAGGTCTCAGCATGAGACAGTCAAGCGCCATGGCCCTTTGACAGAGAAGGCGCAGGAAAGGGGGCTGCAGGGTCTAGGTCCCAGTACTGCCCCTTCTGCAGAGGCAGCCACAGAGGCAAAAGCGTGGGCCCAGTCCCGGCGCCATGCCTTCGCAGAGGTTGAACGGGGTGTGACCTGCTGTGCCTCAACCTCCCACAGCCTCTCCCCCAGCTAGCCTGGCCCCAGATCACCCCCCACCCCCAGAAGTGGCAGCAGCAGCCAGGTGCCTCTCACAGAAGGCGGCGAGACTGCAGCTTAAGCCCACTCCCTGCGGGGAGCAGGCCTAAGCCATCAGTAGGACATCCCCTTAGGGCTCACAGACTGTGAGAGGGGGTAGGCCTGGCTGAGAGACCCCCATTCCCCAGTGCATGAATTTTCATGCACCAGGCCTCTAGTAAGTATTATAAAGAGAAAAAATGCAGGAAAAGGTAAGACGTGTGAGGGAGGGAGGAGATTTCGTATTTACGTTAGATGATTAAAGACTTTACAGATGAAGTGATATTTGAGCAAGGACCTAAGTAGATAAGTAAGTCATATGGATATCTGGAGGGGAGATTCTAGGCAAGGAGAACAGTAAGTATTTAAGAAAGAGCAAGGAGGCCTGCAGGGAGTAAATGGTGGAGTCAAGAGAAAAATCTGAGTTCAGAGAAAGATCTTTCATGAGAGAGAGCGAGCAGGACCACAAAACTACCTCATTTGAGGACCCTGAGCTTGTACTCATCCCCAGTGGGGAAGCAACTAAAACATTCTGAGTAAAGAAGTGACGTGGTCTCTTACTTTTCAAAAGGATGGCACTAATATTCTGAGAGCAACAGCGGTAGCAGGGAGACTTGTTAGGAGCTACATACAAGGAGAGAAAGGGCAGTATTGAACTAGAGTGACCCTAACAGAGGTGCTGAGAGCTGGTAGATTTCAGATATATTTTGAAGCCACAGAATATGCTGAAAGATTGTGTGGGGGAAGTGAAAGAAAAAGAGTCAAGAATAACTTCAAGGTTTGAAGTCTCAACAGAAACAAGGAAAGTGTTTCCATTTACAGAGATGGTGTTACAGGCAGTTAGAC